CAAAGACATGCCCCTGCAAGGGACACACAGCCCAACTTGGCCACGCTCGCAGGCAGGTGCTCACTTGCTCCTATGACTTTCACTATCAAAGAGAATTTGGAGGTGCCGCAGGGGCTCACTGCACAAGTGACTCCTCCTGGCAAAGGCTGCAGAGATTCCCGCCGGAATCATCCGCAGGCTCATTATCACACGAGAAGGAAGCTTGTTAGCTGCCAATTTCTAGTGACACCTTTGCCCTCACTTGGCTGCTTTATCGCCGTGTGCCAGATGTTCAGGGAAGTCAGCCCTAGCAAGCAAGAGAGCTCCTTCTGATTCACTAATGATGGGCAAGAAACCACGCTGGAATTGGCCTCAGCACCAGGCTGAGATAGCTGATTTGCATATCTGGAGCTGTAAATTCCTGTTTGTTTCAGGAAGCATCTACTCGCCACAAAATAGAGAAACTTCTGCCTCTTATTTTAAGAGCAATATATGACCAAACCTCCCTCCCCATATAATTTCACTGGTACTTTGGGTACTCAGGAAGAGCTTCTGCCACTGGAAGACCCAGGGTGATGCAGGAGGGTACAAGAAGCAGGAAGCAGCAGGGTGGATCGCAACATAGGTAATGTCTCTTGGCAAAAAGAACAGTCCAGGAGAAAGTGTAACTGTTCTGAGTGACTGCCCATGAGTAATCCCTCTCTGGGGATCACTGGCAGCAGTCATTTCATCATCCAAGGGGTGCCTGGCTGTGTCAGCAGGCTCTCGCAGCAATGATTCCAAGGCAGCACTGCCAGACCAGTCACCACAGACGCACGAACAACTCACATCTGTGACCCTTCTGCAACAACCACGAGTTCAGGCCACTGCAGGCTGTGGGACTCCAACTCACTTCCTTTCCACTTGTACACTGACATATTAGGTCAGCATGGTGCAATACTCCCCTCTGCTAAACCATGTCACCTTTCTCTATCCCATACTCCTTTTAGTTGCAACCGGTGCAATTATTTTCTCCTTCAGTTTATTCTAATGCTTGTCAAATGACTGAAATCAGATTACCAGGGTTTTAGTTGCTCAGATTCACTCACCCTTCCCCTTCTTAAAGGCAGCTGTACACTCTCTGGTGATACCAGTTACTGCTGTAACTTCCTACAGGACAATTTGGAGCATCAGCTCAGCCAGAACTCCGTGATGGAGACTACCTTTCTTTTGCTGCTGCTGCTGAATATTTAGCCAAACCTGTCCTTTTTCTAGAATAATGTTTTCTCTCAAGTTTTTACTTGCTTCCAGATATTTCTGTTTTACTGGGAAAGAAAAAGCAGTCGAGCTTTTGCTTTTTCCTTGGTCCATACTCCACTGCTCTGGTTTCTGGATGTAGCATCTCCTAGGGCATCACACAGATCTCTGGGAGGCCATTACACCCGAGTGTGTAACACATAAAATCCCCAGTCTCTCCGTTCTGTTGGTGCTTCTTCATCACATTGATTCTTGTTCCTCATAACATCTCCAGAAAATCCTTCTCTCTACAAAGCACTTATCCCTTTCTCAGTACGCAAGTGCTGCCAAAAGACTCACATAACACAGAGCAAATCCCTCTCAGCTGCAGGGAGAATAATCTTATCTGACCACTGACCCAGCAATAAATAGCCACTCGCCTTTCATTTACTCTTTCTCAGATAAACTCCCTTTGATTTCACTTACTCAAGAGAGGACTAAGCAAAGATCCTAATACCTGGCCCAGAATCTCTGGTCAAGCAGGTCCAAGCAGCTCCAGGTGTCTGAAGGAATTCAAGAAGTCTCATACCCACCTGTGACTGTGCCATGGACACATGCAGTCTCTATCAACAGTCACGAGCAAAGGAAACATCAGAGGGCAGAGATCAGCCTATTTTTTTTGAGGAATGTGTCCACTTCCACAGCAGTTGTGGTTTTTAGCAGGATGCTTCCATTTTCCTTTGCTCCATCCTGAGTCAGACTCCTGACTGTAATGACTGGTTTGCAGCAGGGATGAAGTCTTGCAGAGGGACGTGTCAGATAAGGAATAACCAGCAGTGGCATACAGACCTCTCAGAACAAGCAAGTGCCTCTAGATGAATCCAGGAAAGGAAGAAACTCCCTTTTCTCTGGAACATCAGCTGAGAGAAACAAACTCTCCACAGAGAGCACTGGGCAGGCATTTGTCATCCTGAACTTACCACACACTGATAAAAATACTAACACTCACTACCAGAGCAGACACCTACGTGCTATTCCCATAGCCCTGCTCGTTCTCCATTGGGTCATTTCCATCTAAGAGACAGCACTTTCTGCATCAGCTTCCTCTAGAAAAGCAGCTGTGCCACCCACCTGCTTGCAGCTAAAGCCAGTGACAACAAGATCTCAGCCTCAAATAGAGAGAGATCAGACTAGAGAGCACAAGATAGATGTTTTCCAGTCACCTGGTCTGTATCCTAAAGTATTCAATGAACTGACCCAGCAGCCTCAAAAACCAGCAATGACTCCCCTTGGGAACTTGTGCAGAACAGGTAGGATTCTCAAAGGATTGAAAGATGGACAAAAGCAGTGCCTAGCCTTAAAAGGCAGAAAAGGGAAGAGAGCTGATTTATGATTTCAATTCCCAGAATAGCAGGATTAATTATTTGTAAGCACCTGGAAAAAATAAGAAAGACTGAGTAGCCACCCACCAGGATTTGTCAAGAGCAAATTATGTTTAAAAAATTCTTTATACAGAAGAAAAATTATCACTGGGAAGAAGGAAGACATGTAACTGGTATTCAGTAAAGCTTCTGAGAGATCACTTCCACAAACATCCTAAAACTGTTATTAAGGACACTATGTGATACAAGTTCAGAAGTGGCCAAAAAACTATCGAGGATGAGTTCTCAGTGGGCTCACTGTAGAAATGGGAGGATGTTATTACTTTGGGTTCTGCCTAGGAACCAACTTTATTTAGTGTTTTCATTATTAACCTGGAGGATGGAGTAAAAAGTATGTTTATTAAATTGCAGAGGACATGGATCTGGAAAGAATGGCAGGTATGCTGGGAAGCTCTGCCAAAGGAACTTGGCAAACTGGAGAAGTGTTCTGGAAGAAAGAACTGGAGGGGACAAGTGCCCAGTGCTGCTCTTTGACAGGAGGAGCCAATGGCAGAAGCACAGGGTGTGGATCTGGGGAGGTGGCTGCTCTTCAGTTCTTCCTGAGACCTGGAGTCTCAAGGAACCCGACACTCACCTCCAGTTCCATGCCACTGTGGAAAAGGCTGTCCAAACAGCAAATGTATAAGGAATGAGAACTGTGAGGCTAGTGAAGCAGCTGTTTGCTCCTCTCTTTTTGCTATAGTCTGTACATTTTTGGGCACTGCTCTTTAAGGAAAAGATTAATTAACTGCAGGCATTCAAAAGAGCAACAGGAATTAAGAGATCTGGAAAACATCACCTAAAAGAACTGAAAGAAATGGGAGAGTTTATTCTGAAGAAATGAAGGATAAGGAGTCAATCACAAGAGCACTGAAGTAATACACAATGCAAGAAGCTCAAGTCCCTTTTGCTCTCTACCAAGCTGGGCACTGAAGCACTCAGTTCAAACAACTGCAATGGCTCTCCCCTGTCTTCTAGCAAGTTTTAACAGACAATTTGCTGCATCTTTCTAAGAGCAGACGATACCATATTAGAATCTAGTGATGACCACTTGACTGCAAGCATCGGGTGGAAATTCAATTTGTTTTCAAGTAAACCAACCCACCCCTTGAACTTCAAGCTAAACACCACGAGTCCCTGCAACTGTGTTCAGGTTGCAGGGCACTGACACTGCCAGGGTTTTCCCTTCCCCTGAATGAGGAAGAGGAGCCTTACATAAAGCAAAGAAAATTACTTTTAACTCAATTATTCATGTTACGAAAGCCCACTTGTTCTTGCCCAGAGGCTGACAGGTAACTTCATCCGTCTGGTACCAGGAAAATAATTGCAAGTTGGTGCCAGTATGAGACAAGAGCAAAGTATGAGCCCTTAAGGCCATCTCTGTAACAACTGTGTGCAATTATACTCCCAGACTGCTTCATTCTGTGTATGTGGTGAGCTGCCAACCTCCTCTCTCTGTCTGTCTCCAAACACATAATATCCCATCCTCCGAATGCTAATCCATTTGTCTTGTTATTTGCTGAAAAGTCATTAAGAAGCATTTGAAAACAGATATTTAAGATATGTAAAACAAGAACTATACCCAAATAGAGGGCATTTATTCTGGATATCATGACAGCAGATAAAGACAAACCATCCACTGAATGAGAAGCCACTGATCACAACCTGATTCCATTCAGGATGGGTGAATTACAGAGAACAGCCTTGACTATTAACAGGTCCATGGTACTTCAGAAGGGCACTAATGCAACCAATGGGGGGAAAATATTTACATGGGGAAAGTAGTGTATTCATCATTTCAGTGTTTTAAAATTACACTTGATACCGTTGTTCTGGATGATACTGCAATCAGACACAAATCACAAATCTCAGTAACTGAGAAAAATATAATGGTTTGTGCTATTCAGGTCACATTAAGTCTGCCTGTAGCCTTTTCAACAAGTTGTGATGCTGTTGTCTCCTCCTCCCCTCCTGTGTCATCACATCCTTGTCCCCAGACTCCCACTTCTTCCTCTTGCCATTGCTCTTTTCTTTCCTCTGCTCTTAAATCCTAAGAGACCATAAAACCCATGCAAGAGCTGGCCCTTTTAAATACCCTTTAAAATAAATAAAAATTAAATTCATTGTTTATAGTACACAGTAACATAATCTTGAATAGAAAGCCTCATCTGTGACGCAAGGCCAAGTTACAGAGAGATGTCTTTGTAAAACACACTTAATTAAAGCTGAAGTCCATGGAGATAAAGAAAGTCTTCACTTAAATGCAGCAGGACACACAGAGGAATTCTCCTCAGACCCAAATGTGGCAAATACGATGGTGATACCATGTCTGCCCACCGTTACTAATTAGGTGACCTTCACAGCATCAGCTGACAGCGTTCTTACCACTTTCTCCTTGTAAACAATGTATTTCAGCCACTTGAAATCCTGCCATTTGAATCCTGCCAGAACAAACAGGGAATCCTTCTCATACTGCTCCATTTTCTGGATTGCACCTTCAGGATATGTGATCCGGAGTGTTGTCTTGCCACCCACATCCTTTTCAAAGCCTTTCACTGGAGCCGAGTTCAGCCTGCAGGGCAACCAGAGAAGACACTGTCACAGATTCCCACTTACACTCAGGGGTGTTGATGACACAGCAATCACTGCTGGGCAAGAATTCCCTGTAGCAGGTGTTAGAGCAGGAAATGTTAGCTCTTCCAGTTCTTCACCACGAACATTTACGAACGTTTATACCAACTGTGACGACAGTTTAATTAGAAGCCATTTAAATTATACAATTGAATATAATGCAAACCATTTCTGCGCATCCACTATTGTGATTTACACTGAATCGGAAGCTTTGGAGAAGGAAACTGAAAAATATTGTCCTTGCAGATTTAGAGTTACGAACTAAGCATTAATATTCTAATATCCCATTGCTCCTGTGATGTGTCACCTGGATTCTGCAAGACTGTGCAGAAAGAGATGATGCAGCTCCACATCAGTTTTAAAAGAGCTGAACCTGGTCTAATGCTCCAACCCCAATCCAGAGTTCACACTGCTCATTTTACCTGCAGTGAGGCTGTTTAGGGATATAATTCTCAAAAAAACCCCAAAGGAACAATCTCCTGGGCTTAATTCCCCAAACTGGCCCATCATTCTTTACAGAGAGAGTGATCAGGCATTGGAATGGGCTGCCCAGAGAGGTGGTGGATTCACCATCCCTGGAGATTTTTAAACGCAGATTGGACGTGGCCCTGAGTGCCATGATCTAGTAAATGGACTGGATTTGGACCAAGGGTTGGACTCGATGATCTTGGAGGTCTTTTCCAACCCAATCGATTCTATGATTCTATCTGGAGGGTGAGGTGCCTTGCAATGGCAGCACAAAGGAGGAGGTTGGGCTGCATGGCTGGGGCAAGGCTCAGCACAACTTCAGTCTCACTGACTCCAAGGAGTTTCTGCTGTGGAAGTGCATCCCACTCTGAAAACACCCAAGCAGACACAGAGCTTTGCTCTTGGGCACACTGATTTCTAAGGGAATGCTACGTATTTAGCTGTGCTTTTGTTAAAATATTTCTCAGGAACAAAGTTTTTTCCCTTGAAAAAAACAAACCGCTTTGGCATGAACTGCAATGATGACTTTCATGACATTATTCAAAACTTCTATTAAAAACTAGAAGGCCAAAGCTGAGGAAATCTCAAGTAACTTGGAAGACAAATCTTGCTGACATCAAATAGCAGCCCCTGATGGAACAGTATTGCCTGCTTGAATTATTGCAGCATTCTTGACTTGGTGTAGTTCAATATACTGGAAAGTGCTTATGGACTGCAAATTTTGCCGTGCAGGAATGTTAATGAGTATCTGGATATGTCTTTTTCAGCCTGGGTAAGCATTTTACACTGGAAACTTTTTAGGAGAAGAAAATCTCTGTATAAAATCTGAAATTATATTCAAATTTTAGAGGAATAAAGTCCTATGCATTTTTAGCAAAAATACTTGCTTTATCATTAGGAATAAAATATTGAAGGGAAAGCAACTTAAGAATCAGCACCATCACAATTTATACAGTAGATGAACTCTTTTTCCATGGTTTATAAACCCTTGCTTTGTAGCTTGACTTTGAGGTAGCTAGACCTGACTACCTGCAGTAAGTGCTCCCAGCCAGCCTGATTCCCTGCTTCTCCTCTGTTGCTGGCGGCGCATCCACACATCACTCACTTTTCCTATGGGCATTATTTAAACTTGAAGGTGTTGTGTGTCTTTGGGGTAGATGACCTTACATAAAGTAAAGGAAACAGAGATAAATATTACAAAGTACTGTGTGAAGAAAGCTAGTTAAGCATATTTTTGTCTGTTTTCTTGAAGTTGAGGAGAAGGTGTCTGGAGTCATTTCAGATGCCAAGGTGTGGCTCTTTGGCAGGGTTTTCCCCATCCCCAGCTGCTCGGTTTGCTGTTTTGCTGCTTACCTTGTCAGTGCTCCCAAAACTTGGGACCCCTACTTTGTGTCTAGGCAGGAAACAAAACAAGCCATTTCCCCAAGGAAAATGAACTCAGGTCCCCAACAAAGGGCCAGAGTGTGAGTTGTTGATGGAGTCCCAGTGATGGAGTCCTGCCAAGAGCCAGCACTGTCAGCCCCAGGGGCAGTGCCCGGAGGGCAGTGTGGGCAAGGGACCAGGAGAAGTTCTGGCAGCCACAGCCTGTGTTCAAGGTGATGCTACACAGCTCAAACCCCCTCCTAGGCAAGACACACTGGTGGTTATAAGCACAGCTAAATCTTGAAAAACCTCAGTTAGGATGTCAGGCCTCCTTGTGTTGTCCATGGATGGGCAGTTTTCTCACAGAAGTAGTTTCAGAGTGTTTTTCAGTCCATGTCTGCCGATGAGACACTAACTCCTAACCGTGGTACCATGAAGACCCTACCACTAAAGTATCATCATCAGGTGAATCCCTATCTTGTTCTGATCAGGAATTTCTGATACACACTTGTTTTTGCCCTGCCTGCAAGGGAGGCATTTCAGAATACTGATGACTGACTGCTGCAAGAAGCTCCTGCCAGGTAAACAGTGTCACAGCTGGGAATAACATCTGCACTGAAATCTGATAATATCTAGTTAAAGAAAAACAGTAACCAACTCACTCCAAGCTGTTTTTAGAACTGGCAAAACCGACTGGACTATGTTCATCACAAGAACAAAATTTATTGCTGCAATTAGCAATCCTCACATGGGCATCAAAAAACTCTACATACTGCTGGATCACATCTTTGTCCACAAACGTACCACATTTTTCCCTTAAAATTCACTTCCTAGGTCCCAAACATGATCCTTCAAAGGAGTTTTGCAACCCATGAAAAAGGATGCTATAATACAAGGGACTTCCTCAGCTTCCACGGGAGTAAAGCAAGCAGTTGGATACACATCCAAGCACCTGGCTTCATTTAACCTTTACAGTTGACTTCTCTCCTCTTTATCTGTCCCACAAACAGCACAGGTGCTCAGCTGCCCTCTTATCCTCCCAGCTTGCAAACTGACTTAGATTTACTGATGTGAGAGAAAAAATTGAACTTTTCATTTGGAAATTAAATAGTGGACTTTCTGATGTAAATCTCAATGGGTGGCTTAGTCCAGATGGATTGAAACCGTTCTTTTGCCACTTTTTGAACATTCTGAACCCAAGAAAAGGCTATAACTGCATTTTAATTCAGCTCAAATACCTACAAGTCACCAGAATATGACAAGTAGTGAGAGCTCTTTGCTAAGAACTGACTGTGAGACCAGGAAAAGGGCTGTAAAAATTTTGTCCTGTTCTGAACAGCCATCCCTGTGTCCAGCACACTGATGGAGAATCAGGGAGCCATTCACAGGAACAAAGGACTAAAAGGGATCTTCTTTGTGTCCAGAGTTAGAGGACATTTATTACTCTCTGTATGTTCTGTTCTTTCCTCATGTGCCCATTACTGGCACACAGGAGAGAACAGAGGCCACGCTAAATGATACCTGCCTTAAATTCTTTTACTAATCCCTTTCTTTCTTCTACCTTAGCTAAGAATTTGCTTTTTGCCACCACATCTCACAGCTGACTGAAATTCAGAGAGATGATATCAGACACATTACCTTTAACGTGAAATCAGTTATCTTACTAAGACAAAAAATGCCAACTCAGACTGTGTTAAACCAGTTTTTATAAACTTACACTGCAGTTTATCCCACTTTTCCTATTTACCTTTGTAATATTTTGTTACTCACGATTCAAAACCTGCTGGAAAGCTCTGCATTTTTTTTTTCAAGTCAGACTAATGGGTCTGTAGCTCCCTAGAGCACATCCTCCCCCTCCCTCCTACACACACTCTCTCTCTGAGTCTCCATTAGTACAGGTATTATGTTTGTTAATCTCCAGTCACCCAGAACGCCCCCCTGACTTGACAGATTTATTACTAAGAGTTATGACTAGACCTGTGATTTCACATATCAGCACGTTTTTCAAGCATTCTGAGATGGCAATGATCCAGGTCCTCAGCCAAAGCAAGAAGTCCTGACTTTGCCTGTGGTCCTTTCCACTCCTACACCACTCTGCTTCTGCTCCCTTATTCAACATTGTCATCCACAGTGAACAGAGGCAAAGTATCCCCAGTTTCTAGGGCACCTGTAATCACTGGGTCCTCACTCATAGAGGCTTCCTGCCTCCTAACACCCTAGGCTGCATCACTCTTAGTCCTTCCCATCCTAACTGTGAAGTGTAGTTCCTGGGGAATGCTACACATGTATGACCAGTAATACTTCCCTGAGTTACCTAGGGGATATATCTGGGAGCAGATCCAACAGTTTGAGTTACTGCTTCACCACCTAAGGGCATCACAGAAAGCAGCAGCTTTTAGAAAGGAGCTATGAAGAGAAGGTTCAAGCAGGATGAGAGACCACATTCCCAAATAGCTGTGGAAAATGGAATGTTTGAGGAGTGCCTTTACCCTTTGATGTGAACACCATTTATAACAAACATTTATATGCTCTTGTCTTTTCTTCCCCTCCATATAACTTCACGTTTTCATACAAATGGATACTGTCACTAGTACAGGTTAAAAGTCTGCCTGCATAGCATGTGAACTGATACAGAAACTGAATATATGACAAGAAAACTATAATGCCAAAGACTCACCTGACAACAACATCATAGTCATCAATTTTCAACCCCAATGATTTATTTGCAAGTACTCCACCATTTCCCACAATAATACATCGCCGGCAGCTGAGACTGTGGAAGAAACAGAGGAAGAGGTGATTTTTGTAATGTAAATGCAAACAGAGCCACACATATTTAGTTTGCATGCATCTGAGAACTACAGGAAACCTTTGTAAATATTAAGAATTAGGGGGGAGACAGAGATACACTTGATCCCCAGCTCACCTCATCATGCCCAGGCATTACACGTGATAAACTGCTTTCAACACCTCACACCACGTGTGGCCTAATGAGATGAGCTGTCAGGACAAGCAGCTCCTCTCCCCCCACACCCGTGGTATGATGGGCTTGAATCAAACCCATCTGTTTACTTAAGCCTTCTCATCATTCATTCAGCACTGAAATAACAATAAACCAAAGGCTTAGTGAGGAAGTCTTTTCTCCAAGCAATTTTATGAGTGCAGGCAGATCTTGCCAGGTTATCTGGGGTGTGCTCACCTTGGTGAGAGCAAAATTGCTGCCGTTATCACAAGACTTGGAGAGACAAAAAGACCCCACTAAATGGAGAGAAAAAAGACACCCCTCCCACTCCTGTCCAGTAGGAAACATATATGGAGACACCATAGGTGAGGAAAGGGAAGGGAAATAACCTTAATTAGAAAGAAAAAGAAACAGGAAAAAGAAGGAGGAGAACAGTTTCTTGTGGAACCCTGAGTCACGAGAACTCTCTGCAGCAGATGTTAAAAAGTGATTTTGTTTTGAAGACAGAGAAAAGGACTTCTTTCCAGCCATCTAATCCCAAACGCAGCTGGCTCTTCTGGCAGTGTGCCTCCATCTCTGGTAGTTCACTGAAGGAATACGTGTCTGCAGAGCCTTTTTCGGAAAGGGTCCAAGGCAATCAGTTGTTTGGAGCAGATCTCTGGCCTAGGCAGCCTTCCTAGTCCCAGGCACAGTCAACTGGGCTCTTCTAGGCTGTCCTCTCTGTGATAAGGCTGAAGAGCCAGCATGAGGAAAGCTCCACTTACGTGGGGTCCCTCTTTGCAGAGCAGGGCTGGAGTGCACTTAAAGACTCAGCTAAACCACTGAGGGTCACTCTGCTGACAGAGCCATTAGCTGGAGACACGTGCAGAATTAACAGCACCAAGAAATGCTCTGGAACAGCTTCCCCTGCCCAGAAAAAGTGTCATTGCATATCTGAGCCTTTCCAAAAGAAAAAACATCCTCAAGCAGATGGACATATTAGCCCAGTGTCCGTAAGGCTGAAGAAGCATAGATGTTTGTGATAATCAAACCACAACAGAGAAAGCATTTTATAGATGATGGCACAGCAAAAAAAACCAAAAAAAAAACCAGTTCTGGCAACAAGGGGAAAGCAGATGCAAGATCTGGTTCAGGCAGTATATTGTGACAAAGAGGGAAGTGAAAGAGTCAACCCCAAGTACACCCAAACAAGCGACAAAGGTGGTTACAGCTTTGTCAAAACCCTTAAGGAAAAGATGCTGCAAAAGGGAAAAAAAGACATTGTTCAGTTCTGGCCAAGTGACATTTCGGATGGAAATACACTCTTCTGATGATTATGATAGGAAAGTTTGACCTCCTAAACAACAGACTGCTGGGTGAAATACCGTAGTTTCTCTACTCAGTTGTCTCTCAGCCATGACTCTTCTTAATTTTCTCTTCTGAAGAAGGATACTATGTCAAAATCCAAAGGCTACAAGCTACAGAGACTCCCCTCTATCCTTTTCCCACTTATGTTAGGATGGTAGCTCTTACCAGTTTTGAATACAGATCTGCTTGTTCCAGCCTCAAACCACTTAATCACATTCTTTGCTTTTCTGCTAAATTAAAGCACCATCTACTGTCAGTAGCCCCTTCCACATCTGCATGTGTACAAACATTCGCCCCTCATGGGTCAGACTGGTGAGCATGAGCTGCCACACATGAGATAAAAGAACCAGTTCCACCAGCCAAAGCTGCTCCAGCAGCTTTTCATGGCCCTGCTCCCACACAGTGCTCGTGGAATGATAAAAGCTCATTTTTAATCTTCCATTGACCATACCACCTGGAGCAAGCTCATCACACCTTGCACAGTAAGGCAGCTCTCCTAGGTCTTGATTCACACTTGCAGTACCTCTCTGAACAATTTTCAATTTCTCCCCAGATCTCTGAAGTACTGAATCTGGAAGACCAGCATGTGGAGCTAATGCTGCTCAAAGCAGAGTCCCCTTTACACAGAGATTTTACGTACCTCATTCCAATCCTCTTTTTATAGTCATTGGTTTGCAGAATATAATCCTCATCTTGTAAACATGATCTGTGTTGTCACACCTGTGATGCCTGATTTTTGATTTGGCTCCAGGGAAGCAGTGTTCAGAGAAGGATCCTGTGCAAAGGTCAAGACTGACCTGGTCCTGCTACTCCTTACTTTCCTAGTCTTTGGTTCTGGCAAATTTTTCTAGTGTTATTTTACCTTTATTCCAGATTGGTTTTAGCCCCTGCAAATACCTGCCAGCAGGACTACACTGGAAGTGTCATTAAAGGATTAATTCTCAACCCTGACAGTAACCTTTTAAAGATATGTTGACTATCCCATTCCTAAAAAGGATATATCTACAATGGTGTAGTGTAGAATCAGAATATAATGGACTGAGACATAACTAACGCCTGTCTCTAAAAGGTTACCTTTATCATTTAAGCTTCTAGTTCATCTAAAAAATATATCCTCTATATGGCAAGATTTCATTTCCACAAATCCAAAGTAACTCACATCAGTTATGCTGTCATTCAAGCTCTGCCCCAGATCTAACTTTCCAGGATTTTTCCTGCAAACCAAGCTAATCAACTTACAGCCATCTCTTTATCCTCTCCCATATTTTCCAAAAATGGCACAACATTTGCTTTTCTATCAAACGTTCCAAGAAGGGTCAAAAAGCAAACAGTAAAACAAACTAAAAAAATCTTTATTTAACTCTTTAAACACTCTGCATTGCTTACCTTGAAAGACAAATAATTGTCATTTTATATCCTCACAGTTACTAAAAAAAAAATACACAAAGTATTTCATTGTTGCTCTAAAACGGGACAACATCATTCTATTTTTATCTCCAAAAAAGAAACAAATACTTCAGTGAATGGTTCTGCCTTTACTCATCATAACTTTTAGGTTAATCACCTTTGTCCAGCTTCATGCCTGAGCCACCCTCATACCCTTGTGGTCCTGACACATTTAAATGTGTTCTTCTTTTTCCTTAAGTCTGCAGATAAGATTTTTCATTAGTGTCTTTCTGACCCTAAGGTCTAATCTTTGATCTTCCAGCAGCTTAAATTTCTTTCAAACATACTGTGCCCACTGATGGTGCCTGAGCATGGGAAACCTACACAGTCACTGCTGGCTCCAGGCAAGCTTCTGGCTGAAGAAACACACTGTGCAAGCAGCATCAGTTACAGCTCAATTGTTTCTCCACAAAGAAGTGTGCAAACACCTTTATGTTTGTTTACATAGTACATCAAAGCCCTATTTCTTTTCCAGAAGAGCTCAGGGATCGAACACATCGGACACAGCCCAGGTTCCAGTTTGCTACCAGGGTGGTATGAAGGAGGGTCATGGACTTTCCACAGACAGACTTTCCCTAAAGCCCTAAGGAGCTGCAGCCAGATGTACAGACTCTTGACACTGATACTCCAAGGTTGAGTTCATCTACACCAAAACCAGGATTCACGCAGATTTTCTCGAACAATATAGCCCTGTAAACACATGTTTGCATTGTAGCAATTCCTACTTCCTCTTCCTCTCCTATCAAAGCACTTTAGGGATTTGTCAGGGGAGAGAAACCACAAAGCCTTCCTTTACGCAACTTTGGAACTGAAGGCTTTGAGGAAAGATATAACAGAATAATTAAAGAACATCTTTAGGGGAACTGGTGCTTAGGGAGGCTTAGCATATTCTGGTTTGAACTGGCTGCTGCTACTTAAATGGGTGCTATCAACCCGAGCCACAGGGACACACATCTCTCCTGCTCTATCAAATTCCTTCCTGACTTGCTCAGTTTATATACTGCATTAGTAAAGACTGTGTTAGTCATAAGCTCAAACTCTCAGTTTTCCTTCATTACCACCTGGAGGCAATACAAAAAGGTCAGTTAGGTTTTTATATTTATGTCTTTTCATAGGAAATTTACATGTCATCACCACAGAGATTTAACCCCCAAATCCATTGAAGTCCAGCCAGCAAAAGGGCTGTGGAAATAGAAACCAAGCCCTGACCCATTTGCAGAATGAGGGACAGGCCACTGGATGAGCCACTAAAGGAAGCAGTGAAAATGTCAACAATATAAATGGGCTTGGAAAAGTCAGTGGAGGGCAGGAGAACTATGAAGTGTCAAAGACGAGGCCCACCAACATCTGTACTAGGGAGAAAGACACGACAGCTCTGAAGGAAGAGGTCAGAGATTCTAAAGAAAGCCCCCTGTATCTCCAATCTTTTCCAGAAAAGCTCAGAGCTGACGTGTAACTACCCTCCCAAACACCACTGCAGCTTTACCTAGCCCCTGCCCTGGAGCAGAAGAGGGTTCAACACAAAGGTGCCACAGTAAGGAGCCATGAAGAGAGCTAAGAAAGCAGGGCACCACTTACACTGTGTTACAGGTGTGAACTATAGCCTTTGTGCACATGCCCTCCAGCTGTTGGTAGTTATAATACAATGGAGGGATTAGCTGAAGCGAGTTGGCAAAGCTGCTGTGGGATGATGAAAGGTGTACGCACACCCGGAAGGATCACGTTCGCCTCGTTTCAGCACCATGTCAGTACATTGTGTCAGGAAAGGTGCATCAGGATGCCCTTTGTTACAGGGATAATCAAACAAATAAATTCATTTCCAGGGCTTATGAGAGGCAAGTGAATGTAACAACTCAAGGACCAACTTCGTGAAGGAGGACAGAAATGGAGAAGAGGGACGAGACCAAAGGCTTGGTGCAGATCCTCCACCACACAACTCTAATCCTCTCTTTCCTTCCAATGTTCTCACGCACTGCTCTGACCTCACCTTTCCTGCCTCTCCCACCCTTCCCCTGGGAAACCTGCCTTCAAGAGTATAGTTACAGGAACGTTTGTTTCAATGGGCTGGGCAGCACTCACCTTCCCCACCCGCCTCAGCCCTCCGCCTCTCCTGCTGCTGTTACACCTCTGTGCCCACACAGTGCTGGAGTGGAAGGGGAGCTGTGCAAATGAGGTCACTGGAATGACCTGGGTTAAGAGAAAAAGTCATAAACTGGAATAATTTCACTGACCCACTTTAAAGTCCCTTTTCAAACAATGGCAGTGGGACAAAGTAGAAAATATGGATTCTTAGACTGGCTTTGCCAACAGAGAAAATGTTGGTGTGAACCCAAGAGAGGGTGAAGAGAGGGTGAACCTGCAGCCTTTTCCCTGCTTCTAGAATCAGCTCACTAGGCTTCTGAGAGCCTACAAGTGGAAGAGTTCACAAGATCTCCCAAGTCTGAGCCCTTGTACCTTATAGACTTGAGCTGTGTCTCTTACCTAACACTTCCACAATAAGGCATTTTTTCAGCCCTTAATCATAGAACCAAGAATGGTTTGTTTGGGTTGGAAGGGGCCTTTCAAGGTCCCTTAGGCCAGGTCCTCTCCAGCTGCTCCAAGGTGGTGAGCAAAGGAGAGAGGTCTGGCCTTTCTTGTTGACCAGTGAGCAGTAAGGGAGTGAGTCAAACCTCAAGGCTCTGCTCCCACCACACTGGAGCTGTCACAGAGAGGAACTGTTGGGCTGTGGTTTGAGCTTGAGAAAACATGAGTAAGCAGCTAACCTTCCTTCATCAGTCTGCTCTGTCAGCTCTTCTGGAATCCAAAATGGCAGATACCCATTGCAGCCACAGCTGGAATTCATTGACAACCACAGTGAAGAACATTTCTGGAACCATACCCAAGTCTTCATTCATGCCCTACTCACCAAGCAGGTTTTTGGCAGCATTAACATCTCCCACAGTACCCAAGCTCTCTCTCCTAATAACCCCTCTGATGCATGCTCCTTTGGACTCTCACTTTGTGGCTTGCTATCCCAAGCCCTTCTCTCATACACACTTCAACTTTTAATTTTCCTAAGAACTGCTCACTTGGAAGGGCTTTGGGGGGTATTTGACTGTGAAGTGTATGTACCACACAACCAACATCCACTGATTTGCCTCTATCACAATAATTCCCAAGAAAACAGTACTTCCTCAATATAAGTGTGTTTACACACCAGCAAACTTTGTTACTGCAATACCACAGAAATACATGTCTAGCCTGTTCCCCAGCTCTCATTCATGTTTGGTGTCACAGGGACTTTGCATACATTTCATGAGGCTTGAGTGTTAGGTCTTTCCTATCTCTGCACTAAATCCATTATAAAGAACATTAACCAAAGTGAGCAGCTCATGCTAGAGTGGTTATGTTTCACAGCCTCCTGAGAAATTACTTTTAGAAAACCTGAAACATTCTACTCCTCAAAAAACAGGTGAGCAGCAAGGGTCACAATTACATTAACCTCCACTGCAAGAATCTTCCACCTGCCCTCTGTCATTAACACTAATTTCCCACGAGTAACCTTCTGAAAGAGTCTATATGTGGATTTTTCAACAGATTAAAATCTTAACTCTCCAACCAGAGCTGAGATAAACCCCAGATGGATGAGACTCAGTTGTGTGCAAAATCTCTAAGAAGGTCATCTGTGAAATGATTTTGCCTTCTGGACATAATTTCTCAAATTAATCCGAAGTCTGAAGGCTAACCCTACCCGGCACTGCTCTGAGGCAAGGCAAACTTCAAAGAAACCTAAATTAGCACATAGACTGTGAAAGACTAAGAATAAACTTTCACATAGAGAGTAGCTCCTAACTCTAACTACAGCAGGCAAGCTCTACAATCAACATGAGAGATGAGGTGACCTATGGAAAGGCTGGAAAAGCGTATGAACTTTGTCACGGAAAAGTGGGCAGAGCGGGAGCTGGGCCAGGAAATAAACCCAATGTGTTTAGAAAGCAGGAACTGTGTCAGCTCGTGTTCAAGTACCACTGGAAAGAAGCAGTACCAGGACTCTGAAAAGAGCTCATGTCCCAGTAAAAACCTCTAACAGCTTCTGAAAAAAAATACCCCTAATCTGGGCAGTGACACTAAACCAAAACCTTGGGGCAAAGGGAAGGAACGACAGAAAAGCAAGGACAGCAAAGACTAAAGGCCTATCACTTGGAAGCTGGATTGTAAACATGCCATTGAGTTTCAGAAGCAACCTCTACAATAGGACTGAAGAATCAAAGAAGCTTCTAAAGGGTTGAATTCAAGCACCACAGGGCCCAGGAGACTTCTCTCCTGTGCATCCTAACACAGGCTTGGCCAACACAAACACACATTCCTGCTTTATGAGTGAGGAACTGGTGAAAAACATTGTTGAAATAAGCCAGTCCCTTCTTTCCCTCTAAGAGTTTCTTATGGTAGTGTTGTTTTGTCAGAAAGGCTGGAAAAGTATAATGTGTTTATTGAAAATCTGCTATTTACTTATTTGAAAAAGTGGCGAGAGCACGTCTTGTAACAACACGTGAAACAAAAGCTTAGGAAATAGTCAAAAGCTTTATGCTACTTATGTTTGGCTTAACAGAGGTCTTCAGCATCTACAGATTTACTGGAAAGAGGACTCAGTTTCCAGCTCCTGACCTACCCAAAAAACACAGTCAAATTTACTGGCAAAAGTATCTGGCAAAAATGTCAAACAAAATTTATTTAGAACATATGGAAAAGAATCACTTCTACTCCTTCTATTCTAAAAGGTCTCCTCTTACCTGTCAAGAGCTGGAGTTAGACGGTAATCTTTGGTTGCTGACAGGATGGCTTTGATCAGATTATCTGGGGAGGAAGGAAGAAGACATTAGGAACAAGTTCTCACTTCTAATGAAAATGAAAAACAAAGTGATGTAAAGCATCTGATGCAGTTACTCAGAGGAACTGAAATAAGGTTTTCATTAGGAATAAACACTTTCACTTGCATATTCCTATTTTCTCTAGACAATGACCCTCACACATGGGCTGTAAAGATATGTTATGTGCCAAATTCTGATGCAGTGTGCAACTGCCTTGCATGGAGAGTGTGACAGGGAACAAGCAGAGTACACTTTATAGCAGTGATTTCATACCCACTGCCCTGAGATGGCAGCTTAACAAACACTTCAGGCATGGGAAGGCCACTGTCACTGTCAGTGCTTGCCTTCAGACAAGCTTTTATGCAGCTGAGGGGTGAATTGGATGCAGGAACAGAACCAGGTTAAAACTGATGCTTTTTATTCTCCTGGGTTACTTTTGGTTTAGGTTCAGTTTCTCAGTCTGACTTTCTTCAATTAAACCACCATAATTGCTTAAAGACATGCCCATGGAACCACAGCCTACAGACACCCAGTGAATGCTGCAGCAACCAGATGGTGTAAGTTATGCAAGCATAGACACACACACACAAATTAAATGCATTAAATTGCAGAAGCACAATCATTATACACAAATAATTCTATCAGCTATGGAAATTTTTGAGTCTGTTTCCCTCTAGATTTTGTCACTTGTCCCTAACTTTTCCACCTCTCTCATCTATAGAGGTCCAAACTCCTTTACCACGATCCATCCAGGGCCAAGAAGCAGCAATGCTCTGGCTAGCTTGGATTTACAAATGCACCAGTAACTTCAGAATGTCTGAAAAAAAGTCCATCTGCCTCCAAATCCTGACTCTAACTGTGGACTTAAGCAGATGCCTAAGAGGAGCATAAAAACAAAGCAAACAGACATAATGCTTCCCTGAAATCCTCTTCTACCATTTAACTGTTTTCAAATCAGGGATTTCACATGTCAGGTACAGCTCCTTTGTATCTGGCAACCCTCAGTGATTTCTCTTCCATGAGCTCAGAATCCTCCTCGATCCATACAGAGTTTCAATCACTTCCCTTTCCCAATTTTGAATAGGGCTTCTCTGAGCTTCATTTATGGGGGGAAAAGACTGTGAAGAATTAGTTGCCTTCCACTTTGCTTGGGAGATTGTAAATATCTATCATATCTTTCCCTTAAACATATCAGTCAATTAGTTCAAAGGTTCTTAGGAAACAACCAATCGAAATGAATAAATAAGTCTCATTTCTTTACAAAAGATTAAAAATGACACAGGAACATTAAGAAGACTGACATCAGGTGATTTTTTACACTGAAACTTAAATAGCTTTCCTGACAGGCACTACTTACTGCAATCAGCACAGTTTGGGGAGACCCTTTCAAATAAAGAGTTCTGCTCTTATTTACTGCGTCCCTCCACAGAAACTACAGGACAAGTGTGCAGGACCAACACACCAGCTTGAGGCAGTCCATGTGCCAAACAGCTCTGAACCTGACAACAAGCTGGTGAGACACACAAGGCAGACAAACAAAGGTGATACACAGAAAACTCTGACAGTTACTTTGAGATTTGGGGAAGTTTTTGACACGGCATCAGTGACAGCCCCTGCCAACCATTGCAAGCTGAGAAGTGTGATTGCTTTCAGAAGATCATATTTTGGAGTGGAGTAAGGAAAGAGGCAATTTATAAGGGCAAGAGCAACTTACTTTGATAACAAAATAGCGGTGTTGTTTAATTTTCCTTCATGTGAAGAATTTCTTTTGATGCATAGGCAGCAGGCTCCCCCCCCTCCAACAGGAATGCTGTTTCCCTAAATCTGCCATAGGTTGCTGTGACCTCTAATGGCACCATGCCACAGTCCTCTCCTTGGCCTGTCTCATACACTGACTTTTCCTGGACAGTATGTGTTACTGTCTTTGTTTTCCCACAGTCTCAGAAAAGAGATCAAAGGATTGCGTGCCAAGGGTTGCAACTTCCCATCGACCAAAACCTTTGTTATGCCAGGTTTGCTCTACCACCCACAAGTTACACCCTGCACTACTTGGAGACCATCCGATAGACTATTTTAAAAAGCACATTAAAATAATACAGCTGAGTAATGCTCTCACATAATTCAGATTTCCTCACCTTGCCAGCTAATTAGTAATACCTTCATAGTGAGTGCTCAGGAATTAAATACAACTACTTTAGGAGTGGGTATGGCAGTATTTGGAACAGAGATGCTTCCCATTCCCATAATCCAGAGAGAAAACGCAAACAAAACAAACAATATAGAACACTCAACATAGACTATGAATGGCCAAACAGGAGATATCTCTTCAGCAGCCCCCACAGTCCAACAACCCATGGCATCCAAAAGGTTTGGAAGCTGCACAAATCACAGTGTTATCACTCAAAACTGCTGGATGAAGCTCAGTAAAAGTACTTCACTGCCAAGTGTCCACTCGCAACAGGAATGAACGTGGCACCAAGTTCATCTAGTCCAGCCCCCTCACTGGAAGCTGGAAGCAGGAGCTGTGAGCACTGACAGGAAAAGACAATGTCTGGGGCAGGGGAGAGGCACTAGGTCGTTCTGGCTGAGCTGGAACTTTACTAGAAAATGTTCATTGCATTGCTGCTGAGGTGGGCATCTGCACTTGGCACCTTGCCTCTGGCATCAGGATGGAAAGACAAGATCTCCTCCAGCAGGAGCTTCTAGAACTCATTCCAACAGAACTCACTCCAACAGTAAAAATATGTGGTTTTCATACACCTCCTTCAAGTCAAAGGCTCTAAGGTTACACATATATACACACACGTGAACACATGTGCTTATTCCTGAATTCACGTTTTCAGGTCCTCCACCTGTTCTCATTTTTGAAAGCAGTGAAAATCTTTATACTCTGAAGGAATCAAACTTGCTGAAGTACATGAGGCAAGTAAGTGACATGACCAGGAACAGAACAAGGCCTTTGGCTCCTAGACAAGGAACCCTCTGCAAAAGGTCTCATCTTTGGACAGTCCTCTGACTTATGTGTTCTTCACATATGTCTGGTACACTTCAGTGACAAATTAATGGAAATGAACGTCAATATCCTGCATTTTCACCCTCACTTTCTCTCAGTATTAAATAATGAACACATCTCTATGGCAAGCAATCTACTGAAGTTTTCTGCAGCTTGTTTATTATATTATTTTCTTGTCATGGAGAATTTAGCTCGCTGGGGAGTGTGGGAGATTATTTAACCCACTCATCTATCAGCCACTATGCATACACTATTACTGTAAAAACAAAGAAGCCTCTGCACTCTTTTCCTCCCATCTAGAGGAGTTGACTACATTTATCTAAGAATCCTGAGTTATCTTGACATATTCTATCAACTTTGCCTTATATCATCAGAAGATTCAAAAGCCAGCTCAGGACTGCATGATTTCTCTGAACCCAAGTACATCTTGACTTCAGGTTGACCCTGAAATTTTCAGACATTTGGAAAAACTAAAAGTAAATAGTTAGAAATCAGGCAGGCAGTGACCACACAGTGAGAACTAGCCTAAGTCTCAATTCTAGCCTTTTTCTCTGTTATTTATGTGAAGGAGTGGAAGAGACCTTCACTGTAAATGTCAACAACACTTAAAATTGTTGTTTCTAATGTACAAGCTTCTTGCTTGTATCATTAAAAAAAGATGGGAGACCTTTCCACTCCAGAGAGTTACCGCAGGCATCTCACAGGGTCTCACCTCGAAAGCAGGCACACTGGGATGCTCGTGCACTCTCAAGCAGCCAAGAGAAGAGGCTGTAATTTTTACAGGTTTTCTGTACCAGCCATCTTCCTCAAAAAACAGCAAGTCTAGATGCCCTTATTGCCAGCAGTAAGTACCTGTGCATTAGGGTCAGGGGACAGTGTGCTGCTGCAGTTCTGTGTGTCTGCCCTGTGAGCCATGGCCAGTGCCCACCTCCACAGGTGGTCACCCAGCTGCCACCCTTCCAGCCATCGCTTCTGCAGGGGACTGGGCATCAGCTTCAGCTTTGGGGAACAGACTGCCTAGAGTGAGGTTGACTGACATCCCTAAAGCATTCCAGAAGACAGGTGAGACAGGCCCCTGTCCCACGATAACAGAATGCCATGTGTGTGTCAGCTTCATGGGGAGAGTAAACTAAACACTACCAACCCTGTGGATTAAACAAATTGCAATGATTACAAACAAGCTGTAGGTACAAGCCCAGTGCATACACTTTTTTTTAATACACTACCTGAAAGTTCACCTCTGTATAAAGTTCCTCCTTCAGAATTTTTTTTCCTTAAGATCTCCCTCCATATGGGAGCTGAGGAATGATCTTTCACAGAAGGATTTTTATGTCTTTTGATGAATGATTTTTACCTTAAGTCAAGGGAGGTGATTCTGCCACCCTACTCAGCCCCAGTGAGGCTGCATCTGGAGAGCTGTATCCAGTTCTGGGCTCCTCAGGACAAGAGAGACATGGAGCTCCTGGAGCAGGTCCAGCAGAGAGCAACAAAGATGATTTAGGGACTGGAGCATCTCTCTTATGAGGAAAGGCTGAGAGAGCTGGGCCTGTTCAGCATTGAGAGGGGACCTCATCAGTGTCTGAAGGGACAAGAGGATGGACCAGGCTTTGCTCAGTGGTGCCAAGCAATGGGACAAGAGGCAACAGGCAGAAACTGAAGCACAGACAGTTCCACCTGAACATGAGGAAGAACTTCTTTACTGTGCAGGTGCCTGTGCACTGGAACAGGCTGCCCAGAGAGGCTGTGGAGTCTCCCTCACTGGAGATGTTCAAGAACTGTCTGGACACAATCCTGTGCCATGTGGTCTGGGATGACCCTGACAGAGCAGGGAGGTGGGACCAGGTGACGCACTGTGGTCCCTTCCAGCCTGACCCACTCTGATTTCCCACCCAGGTGCCCAGCACGAGGCCATGGACCCAAGTCTTACCACATATCCTGCTCTCCAGCTCTCTTCCAGAAACACCAAGTCCAGC